TCTCCTCTTTTTCTTTTCCTTTTTGTCACGTTATCAGCGCCAAGTCTCAACCTAGGCTATTGACCTACATATTTTTGTTAGTGGCCCCAATAGCTTTTCTACATTCCTTTCGTCTCACACTATGTCCTATTGAATCATTATCTTCTTCTTTACATATTTTTCGACCTTACATCTTTAAATTTTACCTTTAACTACTATTAAACTTAATTTTTCAAACATGACCACTATATTATTAGTTTTTATCAACCTCTTACACTACTCTGTAATTTACTCACTTCTTTAAATTATTTATTTATCAATAAACTTTCTTATCATACTTAAGTTAAAAAATTTTTTACTAAAATGCAGAACCATTCGGATTCACATATACAACAACATGCATGACATAGACAACTACGTTAGGATGCCTCTCAACTTCGACAATGGCTAACTGACATTAAACTAGCCACAATAACTCAATACCATACGAAAAAAATGGCGAACCACAGGTATCTTACATAAAAAACATATAAAGGTAGCACTTGGTATAAAAATTATAATGAACAACCTGAACACAGACGTAAAGTCTAAAATAGAGGAAATGAAAGTCACTGGTAACATCTACGAGCAAAGTATACGAACTTTGCGATGCCACGCAAAGGCATGACTTAACCGTTCAACAATTTTCCAATCGTTTGGAATACATCACAAACCAAGTTGAAGAACAATGCGCCGTTAAAAAACTAGCACCTCACATAAAGGAATTAACTAATTTGCATAAAATTATAGCCCTTAGCATCGAGTAAAAGATGACTTACAGATGATTTGATTTCTCTAGGGCCGTATTATTCCATAGTTCCTAACTCTCTTGATTATTGATATTGATATGGACTTGATGCCCTTCTTCAAGCAGAAAAAAGACATAATATAGGGGATGATTCTAAAATTAACTCTTTCAATACTATTGGTAAAACTAAATTTTACGCAGGACGATAACCTTTGAACGGTAATGAAAAAAGAAACTTCAAATGCAAGGGTTGCAAGGGCTGCAAGGGTCTCACTTAAGCTGGCCAGTTGGTGTTGTCATTGGTACCTCCTCATTTAAGCAACAAAGGGCAAGGCACTTCTAATAACAACGAAACGCATTGTACTGCCGACATAGTTGAACTTCAACTGCAAAAATTCAGTGGTAAGCTCAAGTGAAATACCTGGAGACCACATAAGCTACCACGGATAGCTGGACACGCCAATCTTCTTTTAGCGGAAGAACTTCTTTAAGGAGTGACATAGGTGGCGCATAATACCGTCTACATAACGCACTCATAAGGTAATGGTTTATATACTTATTAATAAAATGACGGTTGAGGGTACTCGATCGAGTCCAAAAACTTCGAATACTCGAGCTCTCAATTTAGGAGTGATCGCAGACATGTTTTACATGGTAGCTTTCAATCGATAAAGTGTCATTATTTTCATGAAATTAACAAACAAAAACTAAAGTTCACGCGCGTCCAATGGGCGGCGATAATGTGCTCCCAAGGCTCGTAAATAAGCCCACTCACCTGCAGGCGATTAGTGTGCCTGGCTAACTTGTCGAAAGGGCACTGGCGTTACGCTGGAAGAAGGGTTCCTAGAGACAGGGGTACAGGCATAATACTATGGTAAACTAGTGACTCTTAATTACAAAAAAATAAATTCAAGCCTAAAATTCAAGCTTATTATACCATTAGCTCGACAAAGGGTTTCAGTTTAGCTTAAAGCTTGTCATAAATCCTCTATAGTTGGATCAAGGGAAGGTTGTTTGTAAAGCATCTTTAAGAAGTACACTAATGTTCTTTTATATTGACTAACTTACTTACCGTAAGGTAGATCATTCACGCACACTTCTCAACTAACTGGCTAATATAAGGAGGACGAACGAGCTTCATTGAGCTTAATCCTTATGTTGGGATCCCAAGTTAGTAAGCAACCAACCTCTAAGATCAGCCTTTATTTACGTTTAATTAGTTTAACATAGAGGACCTCTCTTTATCATACAACTAACCTGGGAGCTAATGCACTAATATGAGAGAATTGTAGTGCTTACTTGAATTTAGAATTGCGGTTGCCCACCCTTGATCTGAAAGTTTTAACTCTCTTATTGCCTCGTTATCTTTAATTATTTAAGCAAGTTGTCTTCCTTCAATTAATATTATTTATAAATTCAAAAAATTTCTTTTTCGTTTTGGTTTTAGGGTTGTTGCATCTTGATAGTTCCTTGGAACTTAGGTGTACCAAGTTTCTTGCTTGATTATGTAAAAATTTTACCTTAGAATAAAAGATAACATACTAAAGAGATAGCCAGATATGCTAACCAACGGAATGAAGGGCTGTAGTAATAAGCACGAAAAATTATTACGGGTGCCATAATAAGGTCGAAAACTAAAGAGGGAGTTAATACTTTAATCAATGTTAACTTGCCTGCGTAACTTAAAAGAAATCTATAATCCTACACAATTCTATTACCTGCCAGCTGTTTTCCAAGTTAAAGAGCAGCTATTTGCCTGTTAACCGAAGAACCTTGGTACAAAGCGGGATAACATGCTCACCTATTGTCGTTGGGAATAATTTCATTGTAGTATAGCTTAATATTTGGTTTTCAGCTATATACTAGGACCCAAAGGCGTTTTTATTCAGTTACTACATAGAACGTGTAACCTCCCCGGATAGTAATGCGCTTTAACCTTAATCGCGTCAATCGAGATCCAAGATTATGCATCGTGGAAACACGTAAGCGGATGCGCTTAAATTTAACTCTAAAACCGTTGCTCCAACTCTTCTACTAGTTGACTCGAATTGAACTAGGTTTAGACCTTGCACTCAACCATAACTTGTCAACTTCATCACTAAGATTCGATCTTAAGAGCATTTTTTCACATCACTCGTCGTTTTGTTTGTATCATATAAAACCAAATTTGGTCTACAACAGTTAGCACTATACAACTCCAACCCATAAAGATCGCCTCAATAAACCAATCATCCGTGCTACTTAATTAGCTATAGACTACTCCCAGGCGGTGGCGAGTCTAGATTCCAGGTATAATTCTCAAACTAACAAATAACTTAGTTAACGTACAGTAGTTTAGCTCACTTGAACAAGATTACTACATGACTTCCTAGTTTCATAGAGAGGTAGACATAAATAGATAGTTACTAGCTCAACCGAAGGTTACTAGTTTTTACCAACTGGAAGTCGATTCTTTCAACTTGTGAATAGCCCTTTGTTATTAGACTCCTTGACTAAAGTCAGCAAACCATTGAAGTTATGTCACTCTATCAACTAATTTGGAAAAAGGTCTTAAACAGCATCGCCTAAATTTTTAGGTAATTTTAAACTCTTTCTAACCATATTAAAAGGAGGTCAAGTTCAACTTAGTTTAAAGGCATAGAGCGATGATAAACTCGGTCTCTCTGTTTGTATTGCAAAGGCAGATGGTACTATCCCTGCACCAAACATTTTAAAAGTCGACAAAGAGATGAGAAGGCTAAATTTACTTAAAAAACTAAAATTCTACTTTAGTAGAACAAAACTAACTAACTAGCATATTCTATTAAAGTAGAACATAAAAAAAGTAGAAAAGTTATATGTTCCTCCTTTTTACGCTCATTATTCTTTCAACAACTTGTTGGTGTTGAATAATGGGCTCGATTTGAGTAGGTAAAGGTATGTAATGCAAAAAAGGGATTTTCATAAGTGTTAGTGCTAAGCTTACGATTCATCTAAAAGCTTATAATTAGAAGAACGGGATGAGAGCATAGAAGTCCTCTTCTAGTTCTTTCCTTTACTTTATAATATATCGCACCATGGAAAAAGAAATATAATTGCACTTCGTGAAACTTAACTGTTGGTAGTAACAAACTAACCACTCTTAGAGGTTGGCCTTACTAGTATATTCCTAAACAAAAAAAGTACGCTAGTTGCATTAAAAGGGAGCATATAAACATGAATTAGCATAACAAATTATGTGAGAAACTGTTACGCAGAGTCTACGTTGAGCGAGTAAAAGAGTGTTGTCCATGGTATAAGCATAAACATGTAGATTTATTCTCGCTTGTGCGTATAAGAATGTATATACAATTTGAATATATTATCGATAGAAGCTGCTTTTTGTTAGTATTGTACGTCCATCATTTTTAATAACGTACCTCTACTATTAAGTTTAATTCTATTATTCCCTATAACCCCTTATATTAATTATTTTAGATTAAATACAATTACAGTTTTTTGTTGGCTCATTTACTCTTTTTATTTTTTATTGTTATAATGAGAAAACTTCTTTCAATATTTAGAATAATTCAGCTTTATTGAAAATTAAAAAAAAAAAATTAATGTAACATCTATTAAGTACTTTCTTAAGGAGGTTAACTTTTTCCTCTCCACTGCCAGTACATTAGTTATCATACATAGTATGTTATTTTTCCCTCTTCTAGCTTTAACACTATTTAAAACCAACAATCCTTAACTTTAGTTTAGGTACACAGATTGCAACAGTTTCAAAGTTGTAATTATAGGCGAAAATTATATAAACTATGCCTAACATATGCTGTTCTACCGCTGTAAAATTGGCACACAAAGGTGGGTTAAAACGTTTAAAATATTTAGTTATTTACTTGTAACTAAAGCTTTAATCACTTTCAAATCTACAGTTATTTAGTGAAATAAAGCCTATGAGTATATAATTGCAGCAGATAGTAACTTATACGAGACTTAAATTTGTAAAAAACTGCAAAACTGTAGTTAGCTATTATTAGTATTATTTGTATACACACTTTAATTCACAGTTAAGAGTTGAAAATTTATAATTCTCATAAATATGGAGGAATACACTGTCAGTTGCTTACTGGATTTTAAGCGAATTTCACAAATTATTTAACCTCCTTGTAGGCAAGTTTTTATAAGAAAAAGCATTGGTAAAGGGCATTTCTGTTCGACCTCAGAAAACTGTATATTTCAAGTTTCAGAGAACTTTTAACGTTAAGGGCGGTATTAAAAATAATGATGGTGTGTTGCTTAATAGATTATTTTTTATACTGCAGAGGTAAGTTTTCTTTACCATTTAAAAATATTTTTTTTGTTTAATTCCATTTTTGTATATTAACGTCTTTGTGTGGCCGGAGTATCCTTTTTCTTTTTCGTATTATAAAGATAACTTATTTCCTCTCTTTCTTATAAAGTAAAGTAGAAGATGGGCGGGTTTTTTTCTAAACTTTTTAAGAATAAAGATATGAGAATACTAATGCTTGGTTTAGACTCGGCAGGTTTCTACTTATTTAAACGTTAATAATTATTGTTTTTCTCTATTTTCTTTTTAGTGGAACTATTTTAACAGTATCTTTTAATTCAAATTATTAGGAAAAACTACTATTTTATTTGCTTTAAAGTTTGGTCAAAGCATAACAACTATTCCCACTGTGGGTTTTAACGTTGAGACTGTGAAATTCAAAAATATAACTTTAAATGTTTGGGTCTTCATACTTGGAGCAATTTATAGATTATTTAAAATTGAATAATATAAAATAATAATAATTATAGGACGTCGGTGGACAAGATAGAATCAGACCCCTTTGGCGGCACTATTATACAGGAACTCAAGGATTAATATTTGTGGTTGATAGTTCAGATCGTGAGAGGTGAAATTAAAATTCGCTATTTAAATAAATAATACGCTTCTTGAAAAAGCTTATAAATTTTATTTAGTTGTAGTTTGAATATTTTTTATTTAAATATTTGTCAGCTGTGCAAATCAAGAACATCTTTGTATTAAATATTGTTATAATAGTAATAAACCTTTTTTTATAAATATTAAAAATATTTAAGTTTGTTATATAAGCACTTTAACTTTAATAGATTACTAAAAAATTGGGTTCTTCTATCGTAATACCGTTATTGTAACTTTTAATCTATGTGTGTGTTGATATAAATTAACTTTTTTTTCTAATAAGGAATTTGACTTATTTTTTTTAACATTGAATTTTACTTAGAGTCGATGAAGCGCGGGAAGAATTACACAGGATCATTCAAGATAGGGAAATGAGAAGTATTTTTTCAGCATAACTAGTTTATTTCATATTTAATTAGATTAAAATGTAGATGCGACTGTACTTGTCTTTGCAAATAAACAAGATCTTTCTGGAGCGATGACGCTTAAAGAAGTTTCTGAGCGCCTGGCAATGGAAGGACTTAACGATCGCGCTTGGCATGTGCAGCCCTCATGTGCTACGCGAAACGAAGGGCTTATTGACGGCTTGACTTGGCTTACTCAAAGCGTGGAATATACTAATAAATAGGCGTTGCAGAAGTACGTTGTTAAAAAAAAATATCAAGTGATACTCTGCGGAGTTTGAGAAATACTGAATTTAATTATATTTTACTGTTACGAATAAAAATGGTTTATGATAGGAAGTTAATTCATATTTTAATTTTAAAAAAACGAGCTGTTGTTGTAAGGATTAGGGAAACAAATACTTTGCCGAGTTCAATAGTTTTCAATGAAGGCATTTGAACAAAGATATATAACAATTAAAATTGTGTAAGGCAATGCGAAACTGTACGCAAAGAATGCTGTTGTACTAAACTTTATTAAATAATAACGGCAAAAGATATTTTGTAGAGCTTTAATAAAATAAAGTATTCCGGTTAATAAAACGTTGCTCCAGACGATGATATTTATTAAATAAAAAACTTAACACAAATTTTTTTTTATTTTACCAAAACTTTACTGTTTCACAAATATTACTATTTTGTTAGTTTCACGTTTATTTCGAAAAACCTGAAGACGTTAGCTGGAATTGCATCGCCTTACTAAAAAGCAAACTTAAAGAAGGAACATGCGGTATGCGTTAGGTTCCCTTGACGCCTAAAGCAACTTAAGGAGGCAGGGAATTATTTACTATAATATTGTCCTAGAATGCTTCAAGTTCCAATTCTTTTTGGCTTCTTTTACTTGGTCTTTCATCTTTTTCAACTTTTCATTATATATGTCTAACCGGTTTAAGTCAGTAGTGTTAATCTTGGTACCGCCACCATCCCAATAGGTTTAACATTTTCTTACCTGGGATGCCCAAAGATAATCCCATGCGATTTTATATTTTTTAGTTTTTATTTATCTCAATTAAAAAATGAAAGATATTTTAAGTTGATATCAAATTTAAAAAACAAAAGTAATTAGATAGCATGTTTTTATCGCGTTTAACGCCTTTGTATCGGAAGTGCCAAACTTACGTGAATAATCGACAGCGAAGATTTTGCTAGGTTATGCCAGTTTTATTTAGAGGCATTTCGTAAAGAAATATTAAATTTACCTTTTTTTTTTTTACACAAAGTATTATTTTACTATTAGATATTTTTACTAAACTGAAGGGAAACGGGTTCTTCGTTACTTATAATCTTAACCACCTCATTAGGGCGACAACCCCTTTTTCTAGGCCTTCTTTAACGTTCGTTTCCTTAAAAACCCACGGAAGGCTACTCTTTCTCTAATGGGAGCCTCTATGTTTAGTACTTGACAATTTCCTAGTCTACGAGCGAAGTTCATATCATAGAGCCCTGTTCGGTGAATGCCCTTTCCATAATGCAGAACGTTGTACCCAAAAAAATATATGTTGATTTTAGTTGAAACTATCAAGTTACTTCATTCCAATAGCTTCTGTTATGTATATTTATGGGATATTCTAAATCTTTTTTATGGAAAGTACAGCATTTTTTATTTTTGCCATCGTAATTCTGTTCTTGTCAACGTTGTTAACTTTGTTATTATTACTATTACTAATACTAATCTTGCAAATAGTTATTTATAACACTAATATTTTGGTTATTATTAGTATTATTATTACTATTGCTATTTTCTTTAAAAGTTAGTTATCATAATTTTAATTGTACGTATTCCTACTTGAAGATGCTTCTCATTATACTGTATTGTAAATTTGCTACTTTAGATTTTTAAGCTTTGTCTGATAGAAGTAAAGTGGAAGAAGGAATAGCGTCAGTAGTGTTCACAGTAATATTAAGTTCGGAAGACTTTTTTCGTCTTCTAAGGATATTTAAATTGTTTTTTTTATGATCTGTATTCGCAGAATATTATTACTTTAAGACGACAGCCTAGTAGCTTGTAGTTTATTGGAATGATAAGCATTCATAGGTGTAAAAAACTAGTACCGCTTAAAGTAAAGCATTAAGGTTTTATTATTGATAAGGTAAGTGGATAATTATTGCTCGGGTATGCACATACTGCTACCTTAACTCATGTTTACTTTTTAAAAGGATGAACTTTACTATAGTACAACAAAATTTCAAAATAGCTCTTTTCGCTTGTAACCACACCTGACTTTTTAAAATAAATTTAAGTAATAAGTTAAAGATGTTTTTTTAATTTTTTTTTTTCCAGTAACTAAGTTCACTCTAAAAAACATTTGCATAAAGGTCGGAAAAAAATTGCGTTAAGGTTAGAAGAACGCTATTAATTTGCCTTAAATTAAAAGAGTGAAAAATCTACGCGAGTTGCAACTCTATATCAATCTTTTAACAAAGTTTTTTATTCATATACGCGAGTTCATCTAGCTCTTTTTCTGCGACTCATAACACCTGTCCTCTGCGGTTATTAAGCAGTAATTGCCACTCAAGTTACGCGTCGTACGTATAAAGTTTTCTTTAAATAACCAATAAAAACAAGCATTAATTAAGAAATATATACTTTAAAATCTAGATCAAAAATAACTCTGAAGCAAATAATTATTGCAATACTAAAAAAAATACGATGTTTCTATTGACTAGTTAATCTGCTAGTAAGACCTATAGCAGGAAAAATTTAAAAAGGCAAGTATATAATAACAAGAATGTAGCCTTTTGTAACTAAAGCAAAAGCACTTACTTTTGAGGAATGGATGGCGCCTGAAAACTTAAGTGATCTACTAGTACATTTTTTAAACTTTCATTGAGGTTAGTTGCATATTTTAGGATCTTCACTTGCAGTTACTAACGGTTTCTTTCTGTTCCCGCTAATTAGCGGCATCCGGACGAAGCTTAGTCTCTGGGTTACCAGCATTATCTGGATTGTCTCGGAGTGTCCCGGGGACATGTTTTTTTGGATATTCTCTCACTTCCATAGGAAATTCATTATTTGCAATTCGGTAGTTCGTGTATTTAATTGGATCTTCGTCGATCTCCTTGGGAAGTTTTTCCGCCATCCTTTGCTTTATAGCAATTTTCCAATGAAAATGAGCTGAAAGTCACGTTTTTATCTTATGTACAGTGGGAAAATGCAAATTGGCCAGAAAGCTCAGAACGTAGACCAACTAAAAGCTTTACTATCGTAGAGGCAGGAAAATTGCAGTGTAGGAGTGAAAATTCTGGAAAATAATAAATGCCATTTTCGACATATTTTACATATTGAATTTAGTACAAATTTCTCAGATTAAAAGTAGAGAGGAAGGCGTTCTGAAAGGCATTAGAGGGGATATGCGTTATTCATTTTGTACTTTCCTAAGCAGAGTTAAAGAATAAAATTTTAACTGAACATCTAAAGTTAAAAAAGAGCGAGGCGTACAACTCTGTCAAATGAGGGGGTTGCTTAAAAGTGACCGGTAAAATTCCCGTTAGCAGAATAGAAGAGAGTTGCCTGAGAAGGAATTCTAGTAAACAAAAAACGACGTTCAAAATATAAGGCAAAAAAACTCATAATGTAAGTAAGGGTGAGAGGCCTAAAAAAATATATTCTTTTAGCTCAGTAATGCTATTATTTTTTCAAGTATCTATTATGTAAAAACTGTTAAAATAATAATATATAAATAAACAACTTATACAAAGAAAGTATCCGAGAAAAGAATGAAGTCGTGAATTAAAACTTGCAAAAAAATTGTTTTCAAGGCCTAAAAAGGCACCTTCCTCAATTGAAGAGCTGTTGTTATTAGAAAGCTCCCTTAAAGGACAACCGAGCCCTCAATAATAGATAATAAGCTGAAGTTATTATAATATAAATTTACTATCTCCTTAACAGGTTAAGACCAGCAAACATTCTTTTGGGAAGTACTGTTAAACAATTCTGAAGGAATTTGCTAAGTTAAGTTTAATAGAAAAGTTATTATTAACATTAATAAAAAATAGTCTACTAGGGTAGTAAAAATTATATATGAAGAAATTAAAAGGGGAAATGGACATGAGCCGAAGTACTCATATTATAGAAAAAAGTTGAATAACTAAAGATCTATTATATAAGTTTTTAGTAACAGAAGTTTCATCATATAAATAAAAAAAACAAAAATACAGCTCTAGTAAGGAAGATAGATGACAAAAAGCATTTAATTCAATAGAACTTAGCCAATTATCTTTCAGGGTCCTACAATATTAAAATTAAAAGTGCATTCGGAAAATATTAAAAACTCGTCTTGTCCTGTATAAACGCCTATATACGACTTTTACAAAATTTAAGAAAAGTATATAGAAATTGAACATACAGAAAAGTTAAGCGTAATAGCCCCCGAAAGTCATCTTTTCCAATAAAACTGACTTTATTTTTATTGAGAAAGCTAAAAGAAAATTCAAGGAAGTCTGTTATGAAAAATGGGGAAGGGGGAATAACTATTTGTATATTTTCTAAAATTAAAATGATAACTTTACTTCATATATATTTTTTTATGACTAATAGTTTAACTCAAATATTATAAGTAAAAATTACTCACACTGCAAACTATTAAGAGTTGAAAAAGACCTTCAACAGTTTGAAGCTCGTTGGAAGACAACCACCTCTTATAAAAATTATATATATATATAAAAACAACATAAAGATTCGAACGTACAAATGCTGTTAATCTGTAGCCCTTGAAAAACCTTCTGGAGGGACAGAAGTTTATCCATTATTTGTCATGTATCTTGATAGATATGATAAGTCAATGAAATAACGGCTTATGACAAAAAGTCTTTACAAAAATGATGTATTAAAAATGTGCTTTACAATTATACACAAGTTTGTGAAAAATTAATGTTCAAACATGACTGAGATGTATGAGGTCATAAAAAGCATTCTCCTCAATTTTGTTAATTTTTCCTTGGATATTCCTTAATATTAACACAAATAATTAAGTAACACTGTTAACTACAAAAAAATTAAGGATTATGTATTAGCAAAGTATTTACTTTAATGAAGCAGCTATTATTCAATAAAAGAAATACATGTATGTAGGCACTCTATAAACCCACCCTATAAACCTAACCTCAAGGCCTACATCCTTATTATAAAGCTCGTAACTACAAGTGATATAGCAATTTGTAGTTTTTATATTTTTAAACTCGTGGAAAAAAGTATTTGTTTATCGCAAAAAAATTATACAAGCTT